ACTTGGTGACAATCCTTATCTTCTGTTGTTTGCCCAAAATATCATTGATAACATCAAAATTAGAACCATTTGAAAACATGAAATTCTATAAAATTATCTCATCTTTCCAGGAAAAACAATCGAGTTCATTTGGACATCTAGAACTCCAGATATGGGCCAAACACTAAATAATATTTGGGCTGCAAGATAAATTCAGACTTTTTTGTTGTTGCTATAATTTGAACTTGAAAATGGCCTTTTTAAATCTGGGGCTCCCATGAAAGTTGTAAGCCTATGTCTTACCTTTCCATCCATATAAATTGGACCTAAATCTGAGATATATAGCTCTAGATATGACCCAATTACCAAACAGTGTTCCGGTTTGGATTGCACCGACATCTCTTTTCTAAGTTTAGCCATCTCTTTATCCTTGCAATTTAAGTTCTTCAAGTCATCAATCAATCCTTTCATTTATGTGATAGACCTGCATTAAAAATAGACATTTACCACAAATTATAGGTATCTTATATTATTAGATACATTATTATAAAACATATTTTAGTTAAGGAGTTATTGATACTTCAAGTGCAAAATGATGATATAAAACCATGATAAAAATGCACTTTTAAGTACTAATCACACCCCCCAACCAGCTTATTACTAGTCCCTAGTAATCAAAGCGTAAAATACAACTAACTTATTATTAGTCCCTAGTAATTAAAGCGTTAAAATAAAAAAACAATTTGCAAATTCCACAAAGCAGGTATTCATCATTCAACTTCTATTAATCTATACAGATAAACAAACTCTCATTAAATTTATATATATGCCCAATACCTCTTAAACAAGATATTAATAAACCTTTCTTTTATGCTCAATATATCAACACATAGTTATAGAGCTTTACTTGGAAAAAAACAAAATTTTTGTTCTAATGTTTAAGGTTAACTTTCTTGGGTTGAGATTTTCTTCTTCTTTTTCTTTGTTTTTTTAAATATATATACATGTAATTTAAAAAACAATGCATCTTTAACCCATGTAACGAACTTTTAGCTAATGACTCCCAGACCAGTTGATTTTAGGGCATTAGGTGTTAAGACACCCCTACGAACTTAGTGACTCGAGTTACAAATACTAATACATAGATAATGCAATGTTTGATTCCCTCAAGCTTTTCTTCTTAATCCATGTAACAAACGTTGGGCCAATAGCTCCCAAGTTAGTTGACTTTAAGCTATTAGGTGTTAAAACACCCCTTCGGGCTAATTGTTTAGCTTAGGAAGGCTACAAAACCAAACTTATCTATATTTTTATTATCATCATTTTTTTTTGCTCTTTTTTTTTTGTTTTTTTTCAAATTATATACTATCCCTTTCCCTTAGTTGTTACCTTTAATAAAATAACATAAATAATATAATAATCCAATATGTAACCCACAATCATATGTTAAAGTGTGTGTGTGAAAATTAAGGTTTAAAAATACATGTTAAATGAGTATATAAGTAGAATTAAGTGATAACAATGCGAAAGTTTATAAACTTGAATATTTCAAAAAGTTTTTTAATAGACCTTGTTATGAATATTACAAATAACCATTGAAAAATATTAACCAAGATATGTCTCAAGAGTCAATAAAATTCCTCCTTACTTTGCCATCATAGTAACAACAGTTTGTAAATGGTTTATAAAATAAAAAACATAGTTAGTTTTTTTTTTTAATATCAACTACTACCCTCTCCTCCCAACAAAAATGAGACATTGTCCTTAATGTTATAAGGTAGAAAGATAGAGTATAAAAGATATCACCTGAAATA